AGTGTAGCCTAGTCTGTAAAGAGCTCACAAAGGATTGTAGCGGAGAGACAAAAAACATGCGCGAAAAACTGCCCCTTGTCTTAGATGCCACCCTTCGATGTTACAGCAGGATTGTTCTAGATGTAAAAGATACTCATTTGTATGCAATGGTGGTATTAGTACTGGTACTTGGTGGAACAGGTCCATATTCCTGTCTAAATACAAGCTTTACAGCTTGAATATGAATGAAAATGACAAACACCTGATGCTCGAGATACTGAAAATGAAATTGACAGATGAATATGTCACAGCAATGTCACTTGGGGCAAATACCAAAAGATGCGAAGCCTTTTCAGGCTTCTGAATAGCCGGTTACCGAAAAATGCGCTATTTAGCAGAAATATGAACGCGCGGTTCCATGGAGCTGTTCACACAGGTAATAATGGGGTGGGAAATTCCCTAATGACAAAAATGAAGTGCCTCGGTGCAACTGTAGCACCTGAGGTAAGACACTCTCTGCAGCAAATACAAGCAGAGCAAGATTACCACCAAAATGTTTCAAAAAAAGGACCCTAGAACTGAAAGCAGAAGCCATTCAGAGACATATTCAGAACAAGGGGGCAAGATCTGATTACAAAAAGGGACAGCTAGATAACCCCCCCTGACCTCAGAACCAGTAGACCGAGTTCCAACAATGATGAGCACAATTATCATAAGTAGAAAAATTCATTAGTAATATAATATTACTACAGTATAAAAATATTGTCAAAACATATGAAAAGAAAAATAACAAAAATAAAAGCTTGTCATTATGCATGTGATGAGCCGTGCTCAATATTGCTTTGTATATAGGTAAAATTTAAATTTGTATATATGTTTCGGGTAATGTAGCTGTATATGTAAATCCAGTAAACAATCAGGTGTTCCCATGCCCTGTGCACTTATTTAAATGTTTACAGTGGTTCTGTTGTTGTTGATGCTGTGTTGTTCCATACTTATATGACTTATCGCTACACAGAGGTTGTTGTGACACAGGTGTGACGCATCAAAGTCCGAACTTAAATTTAAATTTTGCGTATGCATTATAACACTAACCGGTGTGCTGTAAATTTAAATTTTGCGTATACATTATAACACTAACCGGTGTGCTGTAACTGTTTTCCATACACCGGTATCTGGATGCTTGTATCTAACAACACCATATTGGCTGTTGTGTGTCACCGGTCCTGTCCAAATAACACATCGGCCATTACTTGACACAACACACTGTACTTTAAAAAAAATCCTTCCATTTTCCTGAAAGTTGTCGCAAATGTCAAAAGCTAGTCAAAATGAAAGTAACTGCTGGTTTATAAACACGTGGATAGCTGTAGTTCCTATCTAAACTTCCTATTTTGTCTATTTTGTCTCATAAAATTACCTAAAATCACATTAATTATTATGTAATAAGTTCTATAAAACCCAAATTCATTCAAAACATTCACTGACAGCTAGTACAAACCTTCCACTTCAATATTCCAGCCTGTCAAATGTCTACTTCAAACGTGACGGCTACAGCGGAAGTTTCCGATGAGGCATAACTCTCTGCTATGCAGGCCTCAGACCACAATTAATTCTACTATATGTTATACAAAAGGAAATAAATTATTAAAATATTTTAAAACTTTGCACAGGGCCTGCTGCCAAGACAAACTTGGAAACTGTGTCAAATAAAATTTAATCACTAGAATAGATATTGTTGAAAAATTCTATGTAAAAAAAATGTACATATCTGTCCTTATTCAGACAGGAAAAAATATTTAGTAACCCACCTGAAATGTCCTTATGCACTTCATTCGTGTACAACGACTGTGGTCTGAGGCCATATGACAAAATCCAAGATGGCGGCCTAGAGGCCTTCTTGTTTTAATTAATACACCCAAATAATAACAAGCACTACTAGACAACTTGATGGAGACAAAATTGGGATAAAATCCCGTAATCCCTTTGGTTAAAGAAGGATTTTAAAGGTTATATCTCTATTTCCACTATTGGGCCCCGCCCCTCTGCCCTGGGGGCCACACCCACCGTTTATACTGCCCTTGGCCTAAGGATCCTCCAGACCAAATTGGGATGAAATCCCTTAATCCCTATGGTAGAAGAAGGATTTTAAAGTTTACCTTTATTTCCCCTATTCCGACGTTCAACACACCAAAAATCCTCCCACTAGCCAAGTATCAATGCTATGCCAGGTATAGCATTTGAGAATTAGACCTATCTGAGAAATAGACCTAAAAGCAAAATTAACCGGAGTCATTCATGCGTAAACTGTAGATCAAAGTGACCTAGCTAACAGTGAACCACGTTGTACTACCAAAGATCTATAAACTGACCAAGTAGCATTGCTATATACAATGTCTACTATCTGAGAAATGGACCTACACTTAAAATTGAACCAAATCGGGATGGACGTATGGACATACCTGGTACATACGTACCTACAGACGGACAAGGGTAAATCACTGCGTAAAGTTTTAGATATGTGCAAGCCATGCTCACAGTATGTTTACTTGTTATTAAATTGCTTAACTTTAGGACTCAGAAAAGTAATTTGACACAGCTTGAATGATCTTAGCAGACTTTGTTACTCTTACACTTACACATGTCTCAGATAATACACTTTTGAGTCCATCTTCACCATTTCTATTGTAGGCAAGTTTCAAGTTATGGAAAGACAAATTACTACCAGCAGCTTTCCTAGCCATACCTTTGCTCAAAATTTTCTTTTCTACAAGATCATTGTAAGATGAAATATTTGTCTTTATACACATAGAGTAAGCAAGAGAGGATAAAACATAATTACAATCAAAAGCAGCTTCAGAACATGAGTGAACACAAACATTGCTTTCATCAACTAACAGCTGTAGAGATGTGACATCCTCTAAGGCATCATGTGCATTGTAATCATTACCCGTTACAACTTGATATACATTTTCATTATACAGAACTGAGTAAGAATAAATTAAATGACTGGTTGAATACTGATGGGGGAGAATTAAGTATAAGTAACTAAAAGTGTTGTATTTCTAAAAGTGG